GCTAGACCTAAGAAACTTCTGATATCTGTAGCAGAGGTAGGTCTGGGCCATTGTTTCACTGCTTCTATCTCCTGGGAATCTACTTGAATTCCTTCACTAGACACAATATGCCCAAGGAAGGCAACTGATTGTAACCAAAACTCACACTTACTAAATTTTGCAAATAACTGGCGATCTTTGAGAGTTTGCAGAACAACTCTCAAATGACTCGCATGTTCTTCCTCATTCCTAGAGTAAATGAGGATATCATCAATAAAGACGATAACGAACAAGTCCAAGTATTGCTTGAACACTCTGTTCATCAAATCCATGAAAGTTGCAGGAGCATTAGTTAGTCCAAATGACATAACTACAAATTCGTAATGACCATACCGAGTTCTGAAGGCTGTCTTCGGAATGTCACTATCTCTGACTCTAAGCTGATGATAACCTGATCTGAGGTCTATCTTTGAGAAATGACTAGCACCATGAAGTTGGTCAAACAAGTCATCAATCCTGGGGATGGGATACTTATTCTTGATTGTGACCTTGTTCAACTGCCTATAGTCAATGCACATTCTGAGAGAACTATCTTTCTTCTTCACGAATAACACTCGTGCACCCCATGGCGAAATACTGGGTCTGATGAAGCCCTTATCTAGCAGGTCTTTCAACTGCTCTTTCAATTCCTTAAGCTCAGCTGGAGCCATTCTATAAGGAGGGATAGAGATAGGCTGGGTATCTGGAAGGAGATCAATTCCAAAGTCTATTTCCCTTTCGGGAGGAACTCCAGGAAGATCTTCTGGGAACACTTCTGGAAACTCACTGACTACAGGAATTGACTCAAGAGTTGGGGTTTCGGAACTAGAATCCTTAACCCGAACTAAATGATAGAGATAACCCTTAGAGATCATCTTTCTGGCCTTAAGGTAAGAAATGAATCGACCCATAGGCGCTAAGCTACTACCCTTCCATTCTAGGATTGGTTCGTTTGGAAACTGGAAACGAACAATCCTAGTTCTACAATCAACTGAGGCATAACATGAATGTAACCAATCCATGCCTAGAATGACATCGAAGTCTACCATTTCTAACTCTACAAGATCTGCTGAGGTGACTTTCTGAGAGACTGTGACAGGGCAATTTCTGTATACCCGTCTAGCTATAACTGGGTCACCAACTGGAGTAGAGACTGAGAAAGGTTCTGAGAGAGTTTCTAGACTAACACTCAATTGGACTGCTATGTAAGGAGTTACATGAGGCAAAGTAGCCTCTGAATCTTTCAACTGAGTGTACCATATGTGAGTCACATCCTTAAGCTGGTAGGATGCCAACTCAACCCTACCATTACTAGTCACTTGCATCACTCTAAAGATCTTCTTGACCTCATCAATGAGTTTTGTGGGTCTTCACCAACTTGTGACCCTAAAACTCAGGCGGATTCATCCTTATAAAAATCTCAAACTCTAGCTGCCATTGATCCACCATTTCTATTAGTAGGAATTGGAACCTGCTGATTGTTCTTGTTGGTCATACTCTGAGCCAATAGTTGGATCGCATTCTGAGACTCTTCATTCTTAACCTCAAGGTCTGGGACTAGAGGAATTGCGTTAGCATTGCGTGAATTTGCATTCCTTGTGTAAGTTCTATCAAAAGGCATGATCTTAAGCGTATAACGATGGATTAGAAAGGAGATCATACCAACGCACGATAAGAATATCAAGAAAGTGAAGTTTTCCTAAAACACTTCATAGCCTCCCTCTCATTAGATGTGGTGCACTTCACACCCATGAAAAGGACTCTACTTAGTACGGCTTTTCAGACATCCTAGGACACTTAAACCTAATGCTCTAATACCAAGTTTGTCACGCCTCGAGCTACCCCCAAGACGCGAACACGGGACCTAGGACCACAAGTGATCCCAAGCTAACCCTGCTGGCATGATCATGAGCATACTAAAGAAAATAAACTGATGCAAAAGCTAATTCATAATTAAATCTGAAAAGATGGGGAATACCCATATACTATAACTTAATATATGAAATCTGAGAGTTTAATACAAAAGAAATATCAAACTCAAAACACTAAGCTGAATCTAACTATGTCTGAAATAAGCCTCTAAACTGACTAGAAATGTTGGGACATGCCCCAACTAGATCTAGCAAAACTGAAACTAAAGACTAAAAATACTGAAATGAAACTCATGACTATTGTCCTCGGAGAATGAGGACTTACCAACTGATTTTGCTGAACTGAAGATCGGGAATCGATCTAAGCGTGATCTGGATGCTGAGGACCTGAACCTACATCACGAGAAGATGTAGCGCACGTATGCGTCAGTACTTGAAAGGTACTGAGCATGCAGGATGGAGTAAAGCTGAAATAACATATAACAGAACAAAGCATACTGAGCAATGATATAATCTGAACATGATATAGATACTGAAGTACTGAATGCTGAGCTAACTGAATGCAATGACCAAATTTATAACATGCTGAGACTGAATACTGACTGTACTGAAATATGGTCAATGCAATAGAGTCTGACTGAACTGTGGGAGCTACTAATAACCGACATAAAACCACATGAGCTAAATGTGGAGTCCGATGTATACGCCCCATCAAGAGGACCCAATATACCCTGCCAGAGGTATAGAGGCATGCTGGCGTGATCACTAAACTGATGTTGCCCACAGAGGGGACTTACACCTACGTGGCTCGTAGTTCTGGGACTATATGGGTACGCTGAAACCCTAGTCCAACTCGGTATTATGCTACTCCCAATGAATTAAGTAGTTAACTGGTTATGACTGAATTTCTGTAAATACTGGATAGCTCGAATTGAACATGCAAACTGAGAATGCAACAATTAATCTGATAATGATGCATTCATAAACTGAGGCATGTAAAACTGAATACTGAAATACCTGACCTAGCATGTGTAATTCAAGAACTAAAGAAATACATAGCTAGGGTTCTGAAATTCATGCGATAAACTGAGCAATAACATGATAATCTAATTTGGAACATTTAAATAACTAATTCATGATGATCTGCTATAATTCTAGAAACCCTAGGTCTGTTCATAATCATGGAATCAAGAATCTGACTGAATTCTAGGGACCTAATGGGCGAAAGGAACCCACTAGTGAAATCCCACATACCTGGTGACGAATTCCACGGAGAAATCTTTCGATTTCGGGGCTGGAACTGAAGAAACCTCGCTGCGTTCTTGAACTAGGGTTCTTGACCTTTTTCTCCTCTCTTGCTTCTAATTCTTCTAAGTTTGATTAATGATTTGACTTAGGTAAGTTCTAGTTATGTTTCTAGGCTTAAACTAATTAAAATCTCATGATTTAGGGTCTAAACGACATATCTTAGGGGTTCAACGAAATAGGAAAAGACCAAAAGACCCCTGAATTAACTGCTGTCGGAGTGATCTACGGAATGGACCTACGGGCCGTAGGTCAATCTACGGTCCGTAGATTGGGTCCGTAGTTCGAGTCTGCCCGACAGGTCTTCACTAAAACGGGCATAACTTTTTACTCGGAGGTCGGAATTTAGCAAACTCAGTGGCGTTGGAAAGGTAATTCAATTATATATCTAACCATAGGTCATAGGACACATAATTCATTTTGTGCTAAAAGTTATGACCATCTGAAGTTGACCCATCAGAATTTTCAGCTAACTGGCTGCTATCCTTCGATCTACGGTCAGACCTACGGACCGTGGATCGAACGACGGTCTATGCTGGTCAACCGTAGTTCGTGTCAGAGGCTGGGTAAGGAGGTCTTGATCCACGGACACAGACCACGGACCGTGGTCTGATCTACGGACCGTGGGTCTGTCCGTGAGTCGAGACTTAACCAATTTTCTGAGCTGGCTGGGGAGGGGTTGCAGTGGTGAACCACGGACCACCAGCACGGGCCGTGGTCTGACCTACGGTCCGTGGATGGTGACCGTAAGTTGCACCTGCAACTTCTCAAAATCTGCATTTTTTGTCTATTTTGAATACGGGGTGTTACAGTACTGATGCCCCATTGCCTGGGGGCGCTGCATTCATGCATGCAGGTCCTGACAGATGACTGAGTAGACCTCCTCAGCAGCAGGATTGACTTCTTTTCCGTTGGCTAGCCCCTTTCCTCCGGAGCTGCCAGTGTTTGGAGGTTTGTTAGATTTTGTTGTACATATTTTTATGGGTAGGCTGGGGCCCTGTCCCGCCAATCGTTAATACTCTTAGAGGCTTGCAGACTAGTGTGTGGGGTTTATAACTACATTATGGCCATGCTGGCCTAGTTTGTTGGTTTGCTGAAGCTTATTGGTTGTGTGATGCGTTGTCTTGTTATATACTTGCTTTCAGTTTTAGTATAGAGATCATGGTGGCCTTGACGGCCCAATCAGGACTTCTGTGCTAGTTTACAATTTCTTTATATGAACTCTTGGGAGTTGCTGTTTTTTTTGTAGATCTGTTGACAGGGGCCTTGCCGGCCGAGGGCTTAGTTTTAAGCCGAGATATACTTGTTTGTTTTCTTAATTGCATGTAACTGCCATGTGCTGGTAGCAAATGGTTCAGCAGGGTCGGCTCGGGCCTGAGTTTTGGCATTAGGAGTCAGTTGCGCCCCTTGAGTTTGGGGCGTGACAACCTGTGACCCCTTTGGTGAGACGTTTCATTATATAAGACTCAACAGATCACAGAGTAACAGTTGAAAGAAAATAATTGTCAAACAATTATAACAATTAGCAAAAAAAAATAATCTAAAAATTAGTAACAAAGAAATCAAAACAAGGGAGGAGATTATATTATATACATTACAAATTAAGAAGAGAAGTTAGTATTACGAAGTCAAACCTGGTGCAATCTTTATCTAAGAAATTAATAATGACACTTTCTCTAGACAATAAATAAACAAATCCAACTGGGAATAATTGAGATAGGTGTATATAGGATTTAAGTGTTATTAATTCCAACAAGCATAGAAAGGAAAAAAAAAACATGAAAACTTCAAAACGAAAATAAAAGTTCATGATGTTTTTTCGTACTTAGAACATGATGTTTGTTGAAGTTTGAGTGAAGAGCTAAAACCTATCTTCTTTTGTGGAAGGTCAAATATCAAGAGGTTCTCTTCCAATTGATATCCTCCTATCTCAATTGATGGTGCCCTTGTTTGATCTTGTCCCACAAATGCTAAACACATAACATCCTTATTAACTTGTACCACTGAATTTGCTCCATAAATTCTCCAAAATGCACTCTTCTTGTGAAAAACAATATCGATCACAGGAACATCTGGTCCAACATTTGTGTTTCTAATGTTTTTTGAACTAAAGCAAAGTCCAAATTGTTTCGTAGGAGGCTCTACAATTGTCACATTCTTAGGAAGCGCGTTGATGAAAGCAGTTTTAACAACATCGTAAATGGTAGTGTGTAAGATTGTGAAAGCTGTCGTTGTGCTGATTCTTGTTCCACCAAGTCCTTTCTTAATAGATAACAATGTTTTATTTAATGGCACATTTTTTCCCGCGATTTGAATGGATGAAACTTTGACATGGTACTCTGAAAACTTTGAAGTGGTAAAGGTATTTTTGACTAGTGGGGTGTAGACAAGATTCTTGGAGATATCAATCATAGGATTGTAAACATAATATGGAGTAGAACCAATGAAAATAACTCCACTAGATCTTGTAGTAGATGAGCTTAAGCAAATACCAAACTTATTGGTGAATTTTGAGTCTAATGAAGCAAGTTGATTAGGAATGGATATTGTACTATTGTGTCCAAAACCTGCAATTCCTGTGATTGAGACATAATATGTTGAGAATACCGTTAAAAATATAAGTGTGTTCTCTCTAACAATTTAAACTTTTAAATAAGATGGTCACATACTTCAACATGCTATATACATAAAAATCCTGATCAGATTGAATCTCACTGCCACTCATTTATATATATATATATACAAATCCACGTGCTTGAATCGGGCCCCTCATGATGGAGTGATGCGTGCGACCCATACATGTAAAAGAACTAGTATGACTGATGCATAATATACTACTTGTTCCGATTTATATGGCACAATTGAAATTTTGAGAGCCAACCAAGTATTCTTTGATCATGAATTCTGACATAAAAGTTTTATGGCATCAAAGAGTACCCAGCTAGACCTCAAGTGATATGTCGCCAAATCCAGCAGGAACGCAGAGTGAGACAAACATGTACAGATAGAATATGGATAGATGGAGTACTAGCTAAAGTAGATGAATATATATATATATGATGGAAACTTAAGAAGGAGAAATAAAAAGATACGTAAGGAGAGAAAGTAATTTGCTGAAAACACTACTTCCTTTTATTCATGACTTCAAGCCTATAAATAGGCAAATACTTAACAGAATAATCAATTAAATAGGACACATATCAGTCCCATTATCAACTTACTCCTAAAATAGAGCACATGACTCCTAAAGCAACTATGACACTTTACTGCACTAATTCCTTAAAAACAGTACAACCTGCAAACTACTACAATCAAAAAGGAATCAAAAATCCTAAAGACTAGGTCAACTGATAAAAGAATAACGACTAAAAATCCAACAATATATATAAAGAAGGGACAAGGAAGGTCTTGTCTGTTGTGTTTTTCATGGAGTATTCGTCACAAAATTGGTAGAACTGGATGAAACACTTGGTGATATATCAATATAACCGTTTGTTTGACCAAAAAAAAAATAAAAAAAAATCATATGGTCAAAATTTAGAAGTTTGAATCTAGATTTTACAGTTGTGCCAAATAAATTAAGACAAAAGAGTACTACGAGTATAATAATTGAATAATTAAAAAGTATACTCTCTCTAACAATAAAAAAACTTTTAGACAAGACAATCACACGTACAGTTCAACCTACCTGTAACTCCTTTGGCGAGATGTGTCATAATAAAAGACCTAATGCAAGTGAAAATAAACTTTGGCTGAGAGACAAGGACGACTGGCTTTGAACCAATAGCCAACACATCCTCAGCAAGTTCTGCACCTGTATACGTATCAGTAATGGGATTTCCATCAAGAGTATGGCAAGTATTGTTGTTGCATCCAGGCCGCGGTTTAGATAGGCAGAGGCTTCCACAGGCATTATACTCAGCCTTGGCAAAAGAACATTGTTTGGACTCACAAAGAACTGGTTTGTAAGTTGAACTATTGTAACCACTTTCACAGTCCACCAATAAGCTTGCACTGCCGAGGTGGACTGTGAAGTTTACGGGTATTAAAGGAGTTCTTTGCCCTATTACAGTAATGTATTGTAGGGTTGATGAGTCTTTGGTGACTGGAAGGATTAGGGTAGTAGGTAGTACGATCGATGAACATAGAGAAATAATATTGAGTAGAAGAGATAAGAGGATGAAAGTACTGTAGATGTTGGAAGATGAAGAAAATTTTGATGTCAACATGATAGGAGAAAGAGAGCAAATGATGTATAATAAGAATGATATAGAGTTGCCAATTTATAACAAAAAGTTTAAGTTAAATTATTTTCAAAATTGAGAAAGGCATCTTTCATACTAAAAAAAATATATAAAATCACAATTGAGGGAGTATAATATAAGGAAAATATGACTCAATTTTGTTTGAATTTTTTTGTTTGTTCCGTTTGACATTGAGTGTGAAACACTATAATGGCTCCATGTTTTTTTTTTTGTTAACATAATTAACTATGTGGAAAATGTGACCCAACTTTGATTTGATTTGATTTTTTTTTTTTTTTGGTTTATAGCGGTTGACTTATAATGGCTCCATATTGACTTTGAATTAAATCTAGTCAGCATGATGCAAATGAAAAATATGGAGTCATCTCATGCACATGGCCAAGTTGACTTATTTGAATAGTGAGAACACTTATATATGCTTCTCATCTCGATTTTCAAACGTCAAATTAACATCTGGATAATCATATCATTCATGTTCTTTTAAAGTTCAGAAAAAATAGGTGTGGAGTCATGATTTAAATTAAAATTAATAGGTTTAAAATTTATGTTACTACTATTATTTTCATTTCACTTTGGTTGAATATATAGACTACTTTTTAAATTTGGGTTCAGAATTTTGACATTTTAATCATTTGACACACCTAATTCATAGTTTAGTAGTTAATTCCTAATGCTTTAACGTTTTTCAACTACTTACTATTTCCTTTTTAATTTATAATTTCACAACAATTATCAAAATATTACAAGTGACTTATAATTTAAATTTGCAATTAATGCTATGCACAATTCTTTTGTTTGTATCCCTCTATCTCTTTCTACTCTAATTATATTTAAATAGGACAAGTCAATGCGAAAAGTTTAGTTTTCTAGATCTACTTTAATAAATAACAACTACTTTGGATCTATGTTTGTGCATGTGATGTGATTTGTGAGGATAGTGAGTTTATTTCTAAGATATTCGAATCTCTACGAGCTGAATAGTTCAAATACTTTGGATGTATGTTTGTGCATGTGACCTGCACTAATGGTTTTTGACATAATAATAGGATAATCCTTTCACCATTAATTCCTTTTCTTTCTTCGTTTCAACGATACACTACACCAAAAGAGATCTTTAGTGGCAATTGATTTTCCTTTTAGCGACAATATTTATTGTCACAAATACATTTACCGGCATTTAATTTAATTAAATGCCATTGGATTCAATGTCGCTAAAGTTTTTAGTGACATTTATGTCGAGTGCCGGTAAAGACCCTTATTATTGCCGCTAAAAGTAAATTACTTTTAGTGGCCTTTACTATTGCCATTAAAGCCACCTTAGAAACAAGCATATTTGTGGCTTTTGTTATTGCCGGCAAAGATAATAATAGTAACTCAATTATTGTAATGACTTAAAATTAATCATAAATTCACCTTAATTTACACTAGTATACGTGCCCGCGCGTTGCACGGATTGTATCATAATCTTGATAAATTGTATAAATAACTAATTGAAATGCTTCTCCGAATAAATAACTACCTCACACTATCTCTATATAAAAACAATACAATATATAAACTTAGTTCATTTACTAAATTTTTTAACAATAATTTAATTATAAAATTATTTACTTTATTTATTTACAAATTAATAAAAATCACAAATATCCTCACATAATCCATATTATCCTTTTGTGTGCATTTTTTAAAAATCCTTTTATATGCATTTGTTTACTATTAATTTGAATCTTTTAATTTAGTGTATTACCTATTAATAGGAGGATATTAAATCATATTAACTTTAAAATTTTCATCTAATATTGTTTCTCAATAAATAAATAATAATAGGACTATTGAATTCATATTCCTTCATCCTTTGTATAACAATTTTAACAAAGAGGGAGAACATTTATTGGTAACAATCAATCCAAAACATGATTTATGTGTCTAAATATAAATAATGACATTAAAACACTGTCACAATTTAAGATTTTAATCCACTTTCAACCCTAAATATCTAAAATAGAAATGTTTTGCACAAATCAAATGAATATTTTAAAAATATGTTGTTCGTAAATTAATATTTTATGGTTCGGTAAATTCTATAGGATTTGTTTTTATCAATATATCAATAAAATAGAAATGTTTTGCACAAATCAAATGAATATTTTTAAAATATGTTATACGTTATTCGTAAATTATATTTTATGATTCAGTAAATTCTATAGGAATTGTTTTTATCAATATATCAATTTTTTTGCCTATAAATATAATAAGAATACAAATATTATTATCCAAATAAATCCATAACTTAATAAAGCGATAGAACAATCTTGTTGAGTAGTTATCTAGAACTCAAACTCATTAAATTAAACCCACTTTTAAAATTGTATTCAATTATCTTGCAATACCTTCAAATTCAAAATAACTAATTGGTAAATTGTAAAAACGGTTTATAAATTTAAAAATAATGAAGAATAGTTATAAAGTTGAATATACTAATATGAATTTGAATAGATGGAATTATAAGATTCAATTTATAAGTATAATGGCTAATGCTTATTCTATTGTTTGATTCCAGATTGTTGTCCTTTATTGATTGTTCAGAAATAAATTTATCTGAAAGTAATTTTTTAATCTCATTATAAAAGTTATTTGTTTGACTAAGAAACCTACAATCAGAAAAAGGAAATTAGCATTCAATATATATGTAAAATCATTTCATGACAATCATAAATTCCAATAAAATAATTTACCATGCATAAAGACTTTCCTAATAAATAACACAAATTGTTGATAGATTATTATCAAATCAAATCATATTAAAGTCTGATTGGTAAGTAAATTGAGCACATATATATTTATTTAAGTGTTGCCTCCATGAATAATGTATAACCAATGAACGAACCTAACTGAAGAATGAACCAAAAAAAAAAACCTCATGTTAAAGTTTTATTGGTAAGCAAATTGAGCACATATATATTTATTTAAGTGTTGCCTCCATGCATAATGTATAACCAATGAACGAACATGGTTGAAGATTGAACAAAAAAAAACTTGATTATTTTCTGTCTAGAATTGTTGTTGTTGTTGTTGTTGAAAACAGATATTTCTATTTTTTTTTTAAATAATAGATTAAAATCCGGCTTTATCTAAAATAGAGTTAGTTTTTAATTCAAATTTTAAAAGATGAATCGTAACTTCCCATTCAAATCTAAAATTCAAAAATTTAATAATATTTAGTTGAATACATTTTTTCCCTATTTAGTTGGATGCCTTTTTATTTTATTTCTAAAATTAAGATTAATGCATTTTTGAAACAACAACTGTTGTAACAGTAGATTTTTGTATTATTTTTATTATTATTATTGTAGAAAACAGTTATTCTAATTTTTTTTTATAATACGTTTGAAAAGTTCATAGATTGTTTAAACATTTTTAAATTAAAATTGAAAATAACTAACTAACACAAAACTAAATTATTTTAAAAACTAAATTCACAAATTTTATGGTGATGACATGTGTCACTTTTTTCCTCTCGTATTATATATAGATAGATATTTAACCCTCTTTTATAACATCAAAATAAAATTCACAAGAGAAATAAGTTTGAAGATAGTAAAGAAGAATTACCAAACTCAAAACAATGTCATTCACTTGAAATAAGAACAAACAATCTTAATACATTCACTTTCTTATTTTGTAGCTGCAAAAGAAACTAAGAATCATCAAAGTAGAAAAAATGCATTCAACAATGGAGAAAATAAGGCAATTAAGCCACTATTTTTTTTCATAATGCAAAATGTGACAGCTTTCTGGATCAGTGTGTCATTCCAACAGGCTCACCATTTGAATGAGTATGCCACTGTACACATATAGCGGCAGATGGTTAGACAACAAAAAATTGACATGCCAATTACATATCTTACTCACTAAGATCTAGGTGACTAAAATTGGAAATAGAGACACAATAGAAATGCACCAAACCATGGTCCCGTCATGTACCTAGTTCAGATATAATATTTCATATCACAACTAAGGAATCAATTGATAAGAAACAACCTCGTTAGCAAGAGGAATAAACTAAAGTAATTCCTTTTCAAATCCACCAAGCAGTTCATATATATGACGTCCTGGCCAGTCTAAAGTAGTCTGTTACTACACACCAACTCAAAAACTAAGGTTCAGTAACATATATTGTCAAGCAAAATCTCAGAAAATATTAATAATCTTATAGTAACTTTTAACCAGTTGATTATACTCAAATGCTTGACATATGACTTGTATCAAGAAATTAAAATCAAATTAAGCAGCATATAGAGAACGGTAGTACCCGAGCTCAAGCATGATGTATAAGCAGAATATCAGCATTTTGTATTTTGTATAAGCAGAATATCAGCATGAGTAGACTATGTGTCAAAATCATATATCTAAAGATTAGCATGTTTATTCATCATAGTAGAAAAACAAGAGTCATCGAGCAAGTTGAACGACCCTTCCCCCACCACAGAACTATCGAAATGCAAACTTTCAACATATATTCAACAAAAAATAGCTAATCAAATGAAATCCAGAATGTAAAAAGTCCAATAAAACCACAAACCTCAGAATTAAGTAGCATAAAACAAGAATCAATAGCTTGGCATTACACATACAACCAAGTAATAATAGTATCTTTTGGACAGCCAGAGCTAGGTGTTTAAACAGTGGTACTCCAGCACTATGGTGTTGACATTGATAGAAAAAATAAGGGACCCGCTGAGAAGGAAACTACAACCGAGGTACCTCATAATAATCACACCATTCTACTTAATATTATTTATAGCAAGGATCTACAGATTGCTTACTAATGTTATCATAAATTTGTTTTTTCTCCTGCCATAAGGATCTTTCTTTTCTCTATATATGAATTTTAGCTAGTGCCTCCGTTCAATGACTTATAATTATATTTGGTTAAGTGATGTGTGAGAAGTGTATGAAATATT